CTGTGTTTAACCTCTCACAAGAGAATACTTAATAGCTTTTCATTCCTCAATGAGTCATAGTACTTTTTAAAGCTTTAATTATACCTCAGTTTCATTTTCTGTGTTTAACCTCACAGAATGTAATAGCTTTTCATTCCTCCAATGAGAATACTTTTTAAAGCTTTAATTATACCTCAGTTTCATTTTCTTTGTTTAACCCTCTACCAATGCTTTTCATTCCTCAATAGTCATTACTTTTTTAAAGCTTTAATTATACCTCAGTTTCATTTTCTGTGTTTTAACCTCTCACAAAGAATACTTAATAGCTTTTCATTCCTCCAATGAGTCATAGTACTTTTTTAAAGCTTTAATTATACCTCAGTTTCATTTTCTTTGTTTAACCTTTCTGCTTTTTCATTCCTCCAATGAGTTTAACCTTTAATTATACCTCAGTTTCATTTTCTGTGTTTAAACAAGAATAGCTCTTTTCATTCCTCCAATGAGTCATAGTACTTTTTTTAAAGCTTTAACTTTTATACCTCAGTTTCATTTTCTGTACTGTTTAACCTCTCCACAAGAATACTTAATAGCTTTTCATTCCTCAATGAGTCATAGTACTTTTTAAAGCTTTAATTATACCTCAGTTTCATTTTCTGTGTTTAACCTCTCACAAGAATGTAATAGCTTTTTCATTCCTCCAATGAGTGGAAATACTTTTTAAAGCTTTAATTATACCTCAGTTTCATTTTCTTTGTTTAACCTCTCACAAGAATACTTAATAGCTTTTCATTCCTCCAATGAGTCATAGTACTTTTTTAAAGCTTTAATTATACCTCAGTTTCATTTTCTTTGTTTAACCTCTCACAAGAATACTTAATAGCTTTTCATTCCTCAATGAGGTCTTAGTGCTTTTTTTAAAGCTTTTAATTATACCTCCATTTCATTTTCTGTGTTTAACCTCTCACAAGAATACTTAATAGCTCTTCATTCCTCCAATGAGTCATAGTACTTTTTTAAAGCTTTAATTATACCTCAGTTTCATTTTCTGTGTTTAACCTCTCACAAGAATACTTAATAGCTCTTCATTCCTCCAATGAGTCATAGTACTTTTTTAAAGCTTTGGTATCAGTTTCATTTTCTTTGTTTAACCTGTACTTAATAGCTCTTCATTCCTCTGGGTCAAGAATACTTTTTAATAGTATACCTCAGTTTCATTTTCTGTGTTTTAACCTCTCCAAGAATGCTTAATAGCTCTTCATTCCTCAGTACTTTTTTAAGCTTTAGTTTCATTTTCTTTGTTTTAACCTCTCTCAGTTAATAAGCTCTTCATTCTCAATGAGTCATTCTTTTTTAAAGCTTTAATTATACCTCAGTTTCATTTTCAAGAAAAATTAATGGCTTTTCATTCCTCAATGAGTCCTTAGTACTTTTTAAAGCTTTAATTATACCTCAGTTTCATTTTCTGTGTTTAAACAAGAATACTTAGCTTTTCATTCCTCAATGAGTCATAGAATTATACCTCAGTTTCATTTTTTGTTTAACCTCTCACAAAGATGCAATAGCTTTTCATTCCTCAAATGAGTCCTTAGGTACTTTTTAAGCTTTAATTATACCTCAGTTTCATTTTCAATCTCACAAGTAATCTTTAATTATACTCAGTTTCATTCCTCCAAAGAATGCTTCTTTTTAAAGCTTTTTAATTATACCTCAGTTTCATTTTCTTTGTTTAACCTCTCAAAGAATGTAATACTTCATTCCTCAATGAGTCATAGTACTTTTTTAAAGCTTTAATTATACCTCAGTTTCAACAAGAATACTTAAGACTTTTCATTCCTCAATGAGTCATAGTACTTTTTAAAGCTTTAATTATACCTCAGTTTTCATTTTTGTTTAACCTCTCACAGAATTTAACCATTCCTCAATGAGTCAAGTACTTTTTTAAAGCTTTAATTATACCTCAGTTCATTTCATTCCTCTCAATGAGTCTTAATAGCTCTTCATTCCTCAATAGTATTTTTTTAAACTTTTAATTATACCTCAGTTTCATTTTCTGTGTTTAACCTCTCACAAGAATACTTAATAGCTCTTCATTCCTCCAATGAGTCATAGTACTTTTTTAAAGCTTTAATTATACCTCAGTTTCATTTTCTGTGTTTAACCTCTCACAAGAATGAGTCATAGTACTTTTTAAAGCTTTAATTATACCTCAGTTTCATTTTCTTCAACAACCTCTCAATGAGTCATAGTACTTTTTTAATGAGTCCTTAGTACTTTTTAAATTATACCTCAGTTTCATTTTCTTTGTTTAACCTCTCACAAGAATGCTTAATAGCTTTTCATTCCTCCAATGAGTCATAGTACTTTTTAAAGCTTTAATTATACCTCAGTTTCATTTTCTTTGTTAACCTTTCACTTTAATTACCTCAATCATTTCTTTGTTAATAGCTTTTCATTCCTCAATGAGTCATAGTACTTTTAAAACTTTAATTTACACCTCAGTTTCATTTTCTGTGTTTAACCTCTTCACAAGAATAACCTCTAGAATAGCAATAGCTCTTCATTCCTCCAATGAGTGAGTACTTTTTCTTTATTATACCTCAGTTTCATTTTCTGTATTTAACCTCTCACAAGAATACTTAAGCTCTTATTCCTCAATGAGTTTAGTACTTTTTAAAGCTTTAATTATACCTCAGTTTCATTTTTTTTTGTTTAACCTCTCACAAGAATTCCTAGCTTTAATTATACCTCAGTTTCATTTTCTTTGTTTCCTCTCACAAGAATCTTAATACTTTTCATTTTCAATGAAAGTACTTTTTAGCTTTAATTATACCTCAGTTTCATTTTCTTTGTTTAACCTCTCACAAGAATATTTAATAGCTTTTCATTCCTCAATGAGTCATAGTACTTTTTTTAAAGCTTTTATACCTCAGTTTATTTTCTGTATTTTAACCTCTCACAAGTTTCAGCTCTTCATTCCTTTTGTTTAACCTATACCTCAGAATAACCTCTTAAGAAGCTTTTCATTCCTCCAATGAGTCATAGTACTTTTTAAAAGCTTTAATTATACCTCAGTTTCATTTTTCTTTTGTTTTTGTTTAAGCTTTCTCTCACAAGTACTTTTTTAAAGCTTTAATTATACCTCAGTTTATTTTTGTGTTTAATTCCAAGAATCTTAATGACTCTTCATTCCTCCAATGAGTCATATAGTACTTTTTAAAGCTTTTAATTATACCTCAGTTTCATTTCTGTGTTTAACCTCATTTCTTTAATTTTGTTTCATTTTCTTTGTTTAACCTCTCACAAGAATACTTAATAGCTTTTCATTCCTCCATGTACTTTTTTTAAAGCTTTAATTATACCTCAGTTTCATTTTTCTTTGTTTAACCTCTCAAGAATCATTTTAATAGCTTTTCATTCTCAATGAGTCATAGTATTTTTCATTCCTCAATGCCTTCCTAACTTCTTTAACGTTTTAGGCATTAGTTATTCTCCCCTCAAACCACCATCATTTCTTAACAAACACACATGCTTTTGTCATTATCCTTCTCTTCCATTTTCCCTAGTTTTATTTTTTTAACAAAATAAACACAATTGTACTTTTATTTCATAATTTATCAATGAGTAGGAGTTATAAATACAATGTTAACAGAAACATGGAAAAAAACCCTTGCATCATTCAGGCATTCTGAGAAATAGATAAAAATATTAAAAATTGATAGATGTACAAATAATTTCATCATTGACTAATATATATATATATATATATATATATATATATATATATATAATTATATATATACTTACTTTAATGGGTTAATGTGAATTATAATATTGTATTTTTTTGTGGGGAGGTGTGGCAAACTTGTGGGCCGCCCCGGGTAGCAAAAACACTAGCCATGCCACTGCTTGTGCCACTGCTCATGTTTAGTTTAGACAGAGATTTCTTCTAGTTCTTATCGATATACACCTGAGGAAGGCCGGAGAGCACAATGGCTGAAATGTTGTGTTAACAAAGATGAGGAATAGTCTGAATATAAATACTGTAAAAAAAATCATGCATATTATTCATTTGGGGTCAGAATTAATCTGATGCTGGCTTTTAAACTTCAGCCTAGGAACTTTTTCTCTATTTCTTTTTCTTAGAGGCCAAGCTCTGGCAATTGAAAAGGAATGGTTTTCCTTTTGTCTACAACTTTAAACTTGGAATATAAATATCTACTCATAAATTGATTACTTTTTTTTCAATAAATGGTTTTGCTTAGGTCTATAATTGATTTTTAATATACTTGTAAATTGCTTTTATTTGGTAGTAACCAGGTTTTGTTTAATGTTTCTTTATCTTTAGTGATAAAAAAAGAAAATGCCTCTGTGAACCTGATCTATCAATATGTACTTATTGGTGACTTTATAACCATCATTGTCAACCATAAATTCGTTGAGTTACCATGTCTGAACTTTTTGTTTCAATGTTTTTTCTTTTTTGAAAATGTACTATTAAATCTGTCCCACAACTTTTGCTACATTCATTGGATGAAATGTGTATGTAAATATAATAATTATTATGGGACAGATATAGTATGAATTAAAAACTCTGTCCCACAACTGTTGCTACATTTATTGGATGAAATGTGTATGTAAATATAATAATTATTATGGGACAGATATAGTATGAATTAAAAACTCTGTCCCACAACTGTTGCTACATTTATTGGATGAAATGTGTATGTAAATATAATAATTATTATGGGACAGATATAGTATGAATTAAAAACTCTTTCACACAACTGTTGCTACATTTATCACAGGAAAAAGACAAAAGCTGTACAGTTTTTTTTTTCAGAACCTCTTGTACCTTTCTTCAAAAAAGAAATTTTATGTTTTTTATTTGCCAAAATATGGCTACTATAAAATAAGTTTACCTTGTTTTTGATATTTTTGACAGATTTCTCTTTTACATCAATGATTACATTCAAAAAATTGTAACAAAACAGAATAGTCAAAAATATATAGATATGAACAGACTAAGATAGAGAGATATGAACAGATAAAAACAGATAGATACGAACAGATAGCGATAGATAGATAAATACATAGATATGAACAAATCGATTGGTATGAACAGACAGAGATAGATATGAACAGACTGAGATAGACAGATATGCTAAGATAGATAATGAACAGGCTAAAATAGATATGAATAGACTAAGATAGATATGAACAGATAAACACAGATAGTGATAGATAGATAAATACAGGTAGATGGATAGATAGCTACGAACAGATAGAGATAGATAAATACAGATGGATAGATAGATAGATAGATAGATACGAACAGATAGAGATAGATAAATACAGATAGATAGATAGATAAATACAGATAGATAGATAGATAAATACAAATAGATAGATAGATAGATACGAACAGACAGGGACAGATATACTAAGATAGATAATGAACAGGCCAAAATAGATATGAATAGAGATAGATGAAAAGGCTAAGATATGTGAAAAGACAGATAATTGTAACAATAAAAGAAGGATGTTGAAAAGGATTAATTTATTTCTAAACAGCAGGTGCAAAGATTTTTGATCATCTTGTTCTGAATAACAAATATTTTCAGAGGACAAGACTTTTTATGGAATAGGGGCTTTTGTAAACGTTTTTAGAACAAAATATAATGACATGACAATGCAAACTGACACGTAAAAACATGATAGATTAAAATATAACATATACGTGTGAAGATACAATATTTGAAAAATGATAAAATTTTCCTTGCACAAAGACACAATACATATATGTCGCCTCAACATTATCAACAAAATCTTTGATAATTGTTTTTGAAAGATTAATGTACTCAGTGGAAAGTAATATTTGAATTTTCTCTGGAAACCAGGAAAATGATCCTACTATAGAAAATATTATAGAAAAATTTTATAGAAAAATAAACAAAAAAATTCTTCAGAGTCTGTCTATATTTCTGAGCTGAGGTGCTATGTACATTATTTACATTATTCGGACTATTGTCCTCATCTTTGTTGCCATATTTATCACAATGTTTTGGCCGTTGTACACTCTGTCCTTCTTCAGGTGGTTGGAATCTCGAACTGAACCCTTTATTTCATTTACTGGGGTAGACTGTTCTAGTTCCACGTGCCATGTTTGATGGATGTCAGTTATCTCCTGTTAATTTTCCCTCTGAAAGTTCTCCACTGCCTTAACTGGGTATTGAACTCACACTCTTTGGGTCCTGTCACTGGATCTAACCAATGCTTTCATCCACTGTGCCATGTGTCCTTGAAACATTGTGATAAATATGGCAACAAAGATGAGGACAATAGTCCGAATAATGTGAAAAAATTCTTGACAAAGAACTATTATTGGTCTTTAACTAAACTTGTATAAAATGAAAACATAATTTTATATGAAAATTTCTGTAGAATTTTATAGGAGTTTTATCGAAAGAATTCTTGAGAGGTAAATTTTTACAGATTTATATTGCAAGCAAAATGTTGCTGTTTTACATGACACTGTGTTGATGGCGTACTGTTGAGTTGTGTAAAGTTCTCAGAAGTATGCAGTGTAGTCAAGGAAAGATAACTCCCTCCCTAGTGTAGAAACCTTCCCACTTGTATACAATCTAATTTGCATATCACCACATCTCCTGGAACCTTAGAGGCTTTATGCTCTTGGTACATCTACTACTTCTACAAATCACTTGAGGAGGTGTACTGCTTGTCTCATGGTGATTGCCTAGATTACTTTTTATAGGGGATCTCGGTCTTACCAGATTTTCTTCACCTCAACCTTCCTCATTATCACTAGACACACTCATTCTCTCCTCCCCTTCACTTTCAAATTCTTGGTGAGCATCCTTACACCTGTTTTACAGTACTTGCTTTTCTGTCCAAAACTTTAACCACTTCAGGCCAACCTGAATATGATTCTACTAATATGAGGAATAGGCCTACATCTTTAAGGTATACATGATCCATGTGTACTCTTATCCATGGCTCCTTCTGAATGAATCTTGATTTGCCTAAAACTCTTTATCTTTGTACACTTGGGGCATTTTCTAACATAATCCTTCATGTCTTGCATATACCCCAGGCACCAAGATTGTAGTTTCAACCTTAGTTGTGTGTTCAATGCATCACCATGTATGTTGTTGTGTACTGCTTTAATAACATCTTTTCTTAATGATTTTGGTGGTACAATAAGATTTCCACTACATATGACTCCTCATCAATTGTTAATCTGTGCCTTTCTGCCATAGAGCAATTGCTCCATACATTATTCTGTATTCTATTCAGTACTCTTTTTAATATAGGATCCTGCTCAGTTTCAAACTTGAGCCACCTGAAGGATAACACATCTGTCCCTACCCAGTGCAAAATTCTGTCCTCACAACTGTTCTTTGTTTCAATATTCTAAGTATTAAAGTTAATTCTTGACAATGTGTTTACATGTGGAATAGCATTTCCTTTACTATACATAATGTTGAAATTGAATGCCATAAGTTTAATCACTCACCTCAAAAGTCTGGATGACGTGACTTTCGGGCAACTCATTCTTCAGGTTGAAAATGAGCTCTAAAGGCTTGTTGTCCAACTTTAGTAGAAATTTATTACCCAGTAACATATTGCATGCCCTTTCAGTACTCTAGACAGTTGCCAGCATTTATGTTTTAATGTTAGAATAATTTTTCTCCACTGTTGTCAACTTTCTGGACAAATACATAATAGGATGTCCATCTTGTGATAAGATCGCTGCTATGGCACGTTCACTAGCATCAGTAGTTAGTGTGAGTTCTTTTGTCGGGTTAAATACCTTAACTACTGGTTTGTTTCTAAATACTTCCTTAGCTTTTTGAAGGCCACCTCCTGTTTTTCAGTTCACTGATATTCATTATTCTTCTTTCTCAAGTTTGCGAAAAGGTTCAGTCATGTCGCTATATTGGGGTATATTATTAATATAAAAGTTAGTCCAACCTAAGAAAGATTCTAACTCTTTTCTTATTTTTTTGTGCACTTATTTCTGATATTTTGCTAATAAGTCTATCATCTGGTGAGGTCCCATCTTTAGATATTTGATACCCTAAGTATGAAATTTTCTCACAGTTAAAATTACACTTATCTTGATTAATGGTCATGCCTACATTACTCAATCTGCTCAGAACCTATTCTGTTTTATTCTTTGGCTCCTCCTCAGTATGAGCACCAATACCTATGTCATCCTGATAGACAATGATGTTTTTCACTCCTGCAACTTTTCAATAGCTTTTTGGAATATGTGACTGGATGTTTTAATTCCAAATGGCAGTCAAGTCCATTTAGAAGACCTATAGGAGTGTTTATCATGGTGACTTCTTGAAAATGGTCATCAATTTTAATCTGATTATATGCAGATTTCAGATCAATCTTGGCAAAAAATTTAATGCCAGCAACCTTGTGACAGGCCGTTTTAATATTTAGCAATGGGAAATAGTTCAAACATATCTAGTGATTTACACCAACTTTGTAGTCACCACAAATCCTTAAATCTCTAGTGGTTTTGCATATGGCCATGATTGCCACCTCCTATTGACTTTCTCCAATATTCCTTGTTCAATCAATTTATTAAGTTTTACCATAACCACAGGCAAAAGGTGAACTGGAACTACGGGACTAAAATTATACCAGTTGGCTATTCTCTTTGAGCTGAACACTCACCTTGTAATCCTTTAAAAGTCCAATCTCAAGTTCTTCTAATTTCATGCAATTAACTAACTTTCAAGTGTCTATTTTTAATATGTCAACACCATGATCTTTTATGCACTACACAACTATGATTGGTATTACCTCGAAATGAGTCTTTGTCTTGAACATCCCCTCAAAGCATCCAAGTGTTTTAATAACTAACCCATCAAATTGTTTTAATTGCAGATTGATCCTCCTTAATTTCAGTTTTCCCATTTTCTCCCCAAAATTCTTAGGTATTAAGGTTACGTCACTATCCATATCCACTTGCATTAGTACAGTTTTTCCATTTATTTTTACTCTGTCTCTACTCTTATCTCACGTTTTTATTTCATAAATTTTAGTGTTTCTCATCGGAGGATCTATCTTCTCCATTTATACTGATTTTTTTAATTTTTGTATAATGACTGGAAATGGTTTTCTTCTTGCATTTAAAACATATCTTTCCAAAAGCCAGGCAATTATACATGTTCATCTTGTGTTCTTTGTCTCAAAAACGACATTTTCATAAACTCTCCATAGTACTCTATGCATACATGTTAGTCTTAGGGGTATTAAATCTCTGAATTAACTCTAGCTGCTGTAAAAATTCAAAACTCATTTCAACATTCATGTTCTGGACTTGAAGCTGTTCCAAAATTATATGCTTATTTGAGACGTCATATAGTCCTTCAATTAGCCTTAACTGTATTAATTCCTCTTCTATGGACATCAGTCCTGTATCCCACTTTTTGAATTCATAGTACTGTGATGCTTCTTTTAGCCTGTGAATGGTTTCATCCAGGTTTTGCTTGATTTCAAGAAATTTTGTCCTCTCAGATTTGATTAGTTACTTTTTTGGACTTACATTTGTTTCTATGATGTTAGCAATTTCTTCAAATGTCAAATCTTCTAACACCTTTGGATGGACCATTACGGAGATCTTTTTTATGGCCTCACAATCTGTTGATGTTAGAAATAAATCCATTACTTCCTTTAACCCTCCTCTATATTTGTTGTCACTCAATTTCTTGACTCTGAGACATCTCATCCTAGTCTCAACAAGCTCAGGATCCTAATGAGGTTAGATATCCTATCGGCAATACCATGTTCATGTAAAGTTCTCACAAAGTACATACTGTAGTCAAGGAAAGATAACTCTCTCTTGAGTGTAGAAACTTTCCTACTTATATACAATCTAATTTGCATATCACAATACATACGTTGGAAGAAAATTGCATAAAAATCTAGATGGAGTTGTAAAGAAAAGCAAGAAGAAATGACTACTGTTTATTTATATATATATTTTATTTTATATTTTAAGCTTTAGCTTTTATTCTTACTAATTATGTGTGTGTGTGTGTGTGTGTGTGTGTATATATATATATATAAGGCTAGGATGGGGTCTTAAACCTTCAATGGCAACCTTTCTAGAGATAGTGTCTTGATAAAAACATTTGGTGTACTTGGACTACCATGCGAATCTGAATTGAGTGTCAGGAAGAGCATCCAGCCTTTATGAAAAAATCCTTTGTCAGACTGGACTCACCTTGCTTTGTGCGAGATTAATCCCAGCACTGTCTCAACAGAAAAAAACAAAAAAAAAAACATGGCTATGTATGTATGTGGAGTGTTTTAGCAGATAATGGAAATGTGATGCTCTGGTCCAAAGGCACACTGAGAAAGATGCCTTCCAAAAGCTAAAAAAAGTATGAACAAAAAAGGAAATTTTCATTAGAAACAAAGAAATGAGTGCTGAATTAGAATATAATATCTATCAATCCTCCTATACGTCAATGGATGCTGAACAATTTCCTCACAGATGAAGAGGTGACATGAGGCAACATTTGAAGAAGACTACTGAGAATACCATGGATGGAACATGTGAGTAATGAGGAAGTTTTAATGAAAATGCTAACAAAAAGAAAATTTGTACATAGAACCAGAAAGAGATAGTTCAAGTTTCTGGTCTATGTAATGAGAAAAGAAGGCTTGTAGAATTTGACCCTCACAGGAGATACTAAAGATAAAAAGAGAGAGAAACAGCAACAAAATTGAGAGTGGGAGAGATAGTATGGAGACAAAAATTGCTTAGAGCTACAAAGGATAAGAAGTTGAGGAAAGCAATGAAAGATGCCTTCCAAAAGCTAAACAAAGTATGAACAAAAAAGGAAATTTTCATTAGAAACAAAGAAATTAGAAGGAACTCAGCTTATAGAAGAAAATTGTAATTACCGTGAAATATTGTCTTCATTTTTGTTGTTATTACAATGTTTCGACCATTGTGTCCTTCAGCCTTCATCAGGTGTATATCAATCCAGGTAACCTACAGGGAATTCAGAACTGAACTCTTTATTTAATTTTCTAGGGTTGACTGTTCTTGTTCCACTGCCCATATCTCAGGATATCTTGTCTAATTCTTATTTTTAGTACTGCTCAGTTATTTCTTGTCTTGTTTCCACTAAGTTCAAGTACACACTACCCAGCCCAGGGATTGAACTCACAATTACTATGTCACCACATTCATGAACCAGATCAATATCAGGTTGCCCAGATCAATATGATGAAGGCTGAAGGCCACAATGACTGAAATGTGATAACAACAACAAAGATGAGGACAATAGTCCAAATGTAAGTAGGGCAAATAAAAAAATATATGATCTTTCAGACTGTGTAAGGCTTATTAATTTTACAGGCTGGCTGGTTGGTTTCATAATACTATATATAAAATGGCATGATGTAAGACAATCCTTAGTATTTTGTCAAAAATGTTGTGATAACAGCAAAAATGAGGACAATAGTCCACATGTAAATAGAATAAATAATGATACCACTTCATCCCAGAAATTCAGACAGAAATTATATACAAATTGTTTGTTTATTTTTGATATCTATTTCTTTACTATAATTATTGTATTCTTTGCTGTTAAGGAAATGGTTGCAAGAATTTCTGAGAGAAATGTCATGAATCTATTCCTGTC